ATCGACTGCATCGTGTCCTGCTCATAAATTCATATGCTGAAACCCCAGTCCCAGTGGCTCTGTATTTGGAGAGAGGGATTTTTAAGAGGGCAAAAACCCTAATCCAGTAGGACTCTTCTCCTTATGAGAAGTGGAAGATATCAGAGACCTCTCTCTCCACATACACACAGAGAAGAGGCCATGTGAGAAGGCGCTGCACGAGAGGGTGGCCCTTTGCAAGCCTGAAAGAGGGCTTTCAAAAAAATAACCCTTTCTGCACCCAGATCTTGGACGTCAAGACTCCAGAACAATAAGAAAATTAATATTTATCTCAAACAACCTAGTCTGTGGTATCTTCTGTGGAAAGCCAAGCAGATTCACAGATACAATTGTGTTAGCTCCGTCTCCTGGAGGGAGATGTAGCCCACCAAGGCTGGACACATCTCTCAAATTATTTTTATAAAGAAAAATAGATCCAAGAAGAAAACCCCACCACATATCTGCTGAGTCATTTACTTAGCAGGTGTCTCTGATATCAGCCCTGGGGGCTGTGTTCTAGGTCATGTCTCTCACTTTCCATTATGGGAATCCATGTAGATAATGAGAACCAGACAGATGGAATCCTGATTCCTGCCCACCTTCTGCTTCCCCCAAAGTATCCCACAGGAAACTACTCCAGCATCATCCCTGTGTCTTCTACTCTCTAAAATCCCACTAAAGCTGACCCTAAACCAGGAGCTATTGGGGGCTGGACTCTTGTTCTCTTCTTCGTAGTCTTCCATAAGGTCCAGGTACAGAGTAGAGCCTCAATAAAAATTGAACATCAGTTCCCCTAACCCACATCATTCCCTTACATCCTTGTCATGCATCTGTCCTCTGTGGGCACCCAGGGCAGGTTACCCAGGAATTGCCTCAATCTGGCCTCAGTTGATCTTCTGAGACCACAGGTCATGCACATGTACCATTCCAGGTCATGCAGGTTCTACTGCAGGACAGACCTGTGTCCTGTGGGGCACAGACACCTGCTGACCCTGGGTCTTCTCTAATAACTCACACACCTGGTGTTAGTGTATGTTCAGATGGCCCCTCAGTGCAGCACACTAGGGTGATCAGCCTCACAGGTGGCCTTGTCAGTCAGTGGACAGAAAATGGGATGGGCAGGCTGGTCCCTCCCATCATTGATGATGTCCTAGTGAATTTTAAATAAATGAAACGAAATTAACAGCAAAGGGGAGGAATAAGTACCTGTATCTGGGAGGTATACAGGGTCCCAGAACTGTACTGGGAGTGGGTGTGAAAGGCCTTTCTGGGTGGAAAATTCTCCAGCGTGTGTGAAAGCTGAAGGAATGATCACTGTGCAGGTGGAGGCTGATGGGGCAGCTGGCAGCTTACATTTCCTGAAGCTGTTCCTGGGTGCGTGATGGTTGGATGGTCCATGTACATGAAAATGAGGGCTGGACTCATGTAGCAACAAGGAAATTATCCCATGGGAATGGAAGTAAAAAACGGAGATGTACAGTCCTGGAGACAGCTCATTAGATTTAGAAAAAAAAATATTTAGATAGTTAGGTTAAAAAAAGCCTCTGGCAAAAACATTTCTTCTAACAAAAATCAGCTCAAAAGTCACTTCTTTTCTAATCACACACAGTTCAACAAAATCACTTCTAGCAAAGAGCAGCCTGAAAGATCAGGCTCCAAAACATAGATAAGCGACTCTGCCACAGAGAGGGTGTGTCTGGGTGTAATCTCCAAACTTCACACACATAGGATGGGTCCCGGTAAAAATAGTG